CACTCACATAAGAGGCCATTGGATGAAAATGAGACACTCGAAATGCGTGCACACATGCACGCAAACCGAAGACTGAACCTAAGGCACGAATACCACTCTACCAAAGCATGGCAAGGCATGGAACATGGTATGCAAACATACAAATTTCAGTAGCAAAATATGATTCAAAACAGCCCCGAAACATGGCAATATGGTACCCGATGCATAAAATGAGACCCGAAACGCAAAACTAGGCACACACAATGGCCTATAGCTATACAAAGCATGCATTATTTCAACATGAAGTGTGAAGACAGAATCAAGACAGTCCCAAAACAAGCATATTTACAGTTTTAAGCAAGGTCAAACAATGGACACAAATAGGACTAAACTAGCATGCAAAAATGGCCCCGTAAGGGAGATAATGAAGAAAGTAGCATCTGCTGGCCCCAAACAATGAAGAGCCCTTCAAAAAAGTTGAAAAGGGGCTCAAAACAAGGTATTTTACAGTTTATGGCCGAGCCCAAAACAGTGCACAAGTAAGCTTAAAATACTATGCAAGGAAGCCTCAAACAGTAAAAGACCCTCGATCAAACATTAAGAGAGGGTCAAAATAAGGCTATTTACAGTTCAGACCAGAGCCCAAAAATACAAGCACAAGGGGCTAACAAAACATGCAAAAATAAGGCCAAAAGAGGGATAAAGAGGCAAGTGACAAAAGGAAGCCTCAAACAGTGAAGAGCCCTTCAACAATGTTGAAGAAGGGCTCAAAATAAGCCACTTTACAGTTTATAACCAAGCTCGAAATAATTTACAAATGAGCCTAAAATACTATGCAAGAAAGAGGCATACAAGAGAGATAAAGAAGCAAGTGTAAAAAGGAAGCCTCAAACAGGGAGAGGCTCTTAAACAAACATGAAAAGGAGCTCAAAATAATGCTATTTTTAGTTAGGGTCGGAGCCCAAATATGTAAGAAAGTATGGCTAATATATTGAGCAAAATAAGGCAAGAAAGAGGGAGGAGAAGACTTACCCTTGAAGACCAAACCTTTGACAACTCTTGGACCAAGTTTGGTGGCTCCTTAGCTCTGGAAAACAGCTCCAAGTGGCTGGAATGGATGGTGGTGATATGGTGCTAGGTGGTGGTGTAGAAATGGTGTAGGGTTTGGGAGGTTTTGAGAGTTGGAGTGTAGAGAGAGAGAGATACAAGGTAGGAGCTCTAAACCAAAAATTTCTAACCCCTGCAATGGGAGTTGGAGGGCCTGATATATAGGCAAAAGAGGGGGGGAAAAAGGAGGGGAATGGAATTCGAATTTCTCTCCAAAAGTGCAGCCCCCCAGATACACAATCTGGGGGGAAACAAAATACATATTTGTAGTGTACCTGGAGAAAGGATCAAGGCCGGCTGGTTTGCTAGGGTTTAGGTGGCCGGTCGGCCTTCCCCATGGCCGGTCAGCCAAGGGTCAAAAGGGTCAAGCAGTATTAGTGGCCGGCCACCCCAGATTGGTGGCCTCCCATGTATGCACAACACAACCATGTGGTCAAAAACTAGAGAAAGTAAATTAGGAGAGAGAAAAGTCCACTTTTAGGAGGGGTTCAAAAGGGTCACACACAATTACTGGCCGGCCATGTGATATTGGTGGCCTCCCAGGTGTGTACAACACAAATATATGGTTTAGGGCTGGAAAAAGTGGCCTTAGGGTGGTCAACATTGGCTTTCAAGTGAGAAAAACGGGCGACGGAGGGCGATGGAGGAATAAAACTGGTTGTCAGAACAATTACTGGCCTCCCACCCTTCTACAACCTTCTTAACAATGAAACAGAGGTCCTTGCCAAAAATGAACTTAAACTGATGCAAAATGGAGGTTCGGGGGCCGAAACGCGCAGCCCGAGGCCCCAAAAACTGACTGTTAGGCACCGAAAGTGGTGTTCGACCACCGAGTTGGTCTCTCGAGCCACAGTGTCCCTCAAAAGGGAGCAAATAAGATGTATGCCAAAAATCGGAGCGAACAGAGGTGGTTAAGCGGTCCCGAACCGAGGCACACGGCCAACGGCTCCGAAAAATCGGAAACCGGACTCCAAACGGGCAAAATGGCCTACGACCACGAAACGTAGCCTACGGCCACTGAGAGATGATCTACGAGACCTCTCCCTCCCTTGGACTTACACTAACATGAGTGGACCTCAGCCACACTCACATTAGTACATGAAAGAGTCCGGAAGTCCGGAGGCAAGGCTCGCAGCCGAGACTCTGAAACCTCTGAACGAGCACGATATGCAACATCACCAAGCGCTCAATCGGTGACGTCTGAGTCTTAAGGTCGGTCAAAAATAGGGTGTTTACACTTAGCTTTGTTAGCATTAGCGAATTCCCATGGAAGGTCAGGATTGTTATCGGGACGATCAAGGTGTTGTACCAAACAAACCACATTCCACAATCATATTAAGCATTTACAGAGATTGGGAACATAAGTATCTATGATACAAGCAATGATTCAAACTTACATAGTTTAGGGCAGTCAAAAAGGATTGAGAAGTCTGCAATTGAAGGAAAATTAGAAGGAAACCTAGGGAATTTGCCGTAAAGCTTGACGAATCTCAAGTAGGCGTTAAGTCACCAAACGAGCTACCATGTTTGTTCTGCTGATGATGATAATGATGATGTCTTGCTCTTGTAACAAAGAACAGACACGGAGATAGGGAAGAAGATGATCTTCACTCGCGAAAGAGAGTTCGCTCTGCGACTGAGGTGAGAGGTTTTAAAGTTCACGAGGGAGCGTAGAACGCGCACGGAGTTTTGTTTTTGTACTTGGTACATGTGCTTTCAACCACATGATGTAAATAAGTGGGTTTGGTTGGGATATTTGGGAAATTATTTAAAAATTGAGAAAAAAAAAGTGTCTGAAATTAGGTAAAATATAAGTATATTTTATTTATATTTCACCAACATTTTTATTTCTTTTTTTTTTCTAAATTTCTTTTAAAATCTTCAAATCAAACACAACATTAATGAGTTTTACGTTGTGTTTAGTTGTGAGATTTAGGAAGAAATTTAAAAACAAAAAGAAAAAAATGTATAAAATTAAATGAAATATTACCTACTTTTTTTATTTTTCCTTTTCAAATCTCTTGACTAAATATACCGTTAATCTATCAAGAATCTCCGATTGGCCCGAGTTAAACTTATTTGAGTTGGATCATATTTGGTCTGACAAACTCAGGTGGAGCTTAAGCACGTGCAGGTTTTACTACCCTCTCTATCTCATTTCATATTTGGGAGTAAACTATTAATAGATTTTAATAATTAAATTTAATTTTATCAAGTTTTAATAAAAATAAATCTTAATAAAATAATTATTAAAAATAATTTTTTTAGATATTTTTTGTATATGTCGTTAAAGTTTGATAATTAATAATATTTTTTTATGACTAATTTTTAAATTGTCGCTGAAAAGAGAAAATTAGTAACTTGCTTTGTGACGATTTTTTGTAAACTATTGTTAAAATTTATAATTAGTGATTTTTTTTAAAATAAAATTTTCAAACTATAATTAAAAATTAAAAATTAGTAACTTCTTTTAATAGTATTTGATGAAAAATATCATTAATTCTCACATAACCTATTAGACAATATGTTCACCTATGAGGACCTACATGTAAATCCCCTTTTATTTGTTCATTATTTTATTATTATTGTCTCAAAATATATGTCCATTCTGAAAAGTTAAACTTTTAAATTTAAAAGTTTCTAAAATTGTTCCTTGTGAGGGAATACAAATATATTTGAAAATAAAAATAAAATGGTATTTTAGAAATTAAAAAATCAAATTTAATGATTACATGTCTTTTTAAAAAGTTAAAATTTTCATATATTTATATATATATATATATAGTACCAAGACAGTATGTACAATGTATACAAACATTCAGGACAGAGACTTAATCCTTATTAAACAGTACAGTACAAAAACATTCGGTCTAAACAGTAGTTACATAACAGATACAAAAAGGGAAAAACTAAACACCCCCAAAGCCCTGGCTTGACAGGCTCGGAACCTCGCAGTGAGGCACAATGGTTGGCTTTGACAAAAGGGAGCCTAACCCGCTCCTAGCTTCGGTCTGGTGCCTGTACACCTACATATGTATATGAGCAGTGAGCTAAAGCCTAGTGAATAACATAATGTGTAAAGAGGTTAAGAATGAATGTCCTTTCAGTATTGAAAACAGTCAATTGATTCAGTATATCAGTCATTCAGTCATATGATTTATAAATCAAAAATTTTACCAAACAAGTTTTTATTTGAGTTTTTAAAATTTTTGTAAATATAAACAGAAAATTGAAAACGTAAGTGTTACCAAACGACACCTTAGTGTTGAGTTTAAATTTTTTATTTTATTGGTTTATGAACCAAGCAGACCCCATGCATTTGGTATAGAGGAGAGATTTACTTGAGATTTTAAAAGATTTAATAAAAAAAAAATCTAGAATTTTATATTAGGAATAACTAGAAAAAAATGGTTACAATTGTTCTATAAATGGCTCCTTCCTTCACTTTTTTTTACAAAACATGTACTATGTTCTAATAATACTTAAATAATTAAAATATAATAGTACTTAAATATAATATTTCGACTGTTTTAATTTGTTTTAGTATAAAAATATTTAAAATCAAAATGGACCATAAATTATGGAAAACAAAATGAAAATCAAAATTTCAGTTGATCTTAAACATTCAATTCGATTCTATCAATTATTCTTATATCTATGGGTTAAATTAGTTTAGTAACCCTAACAAAGTAGTTGAGTCGAACTTGAACCTCGCAGATTTGGTCCATTTTCCATATTTAGGATATATGCATCATAAAATTTAGAAAAATATTATATGTAACCGTTTTATATTATGCTTAGGTGTATATATTTGTTGACTGGTCACTTATTTAAAAATCATAATTAAATAAATAATAATGAATATTATTTTATCTGATAATATAAATAAATAAATAAACAAATAAACCAGAATATATAGCTGTACTCTAAACTTTATCACGAAGAAACACATGTAAAGGAACATGTTAATCAACATGGCAATGAAGCTTTACACAAAATTTAATTTGTACATACCTGCCTCTATATTAATACATGGCAAAGTCTTGCCCAAAAAAAATAATAAAAACACACACACAAAAAACAAAACAAAAAAATGTGAACATGATCTGAAGCATGTATTTTCATATCTTTCTGTGTCAATTTGATGGGTTTTGTTACAAAACTAAACTCACATGCAGAGGCTCAAAACCCCCCACAAAGAAATTGTGTGATCTGTGATCTGGCCAATCTGTATGTGCTTTTGTCTTGTAACCTTCCAGAGACTGAGCTTGGCCAACCCAAGCTAACGGTATCAAGAAATGTATCGATAGATATCAGTGATATGATTATATATCAATTAATATTCTAATATACCATACAGATTTTGTGGGTTGTATTCTCTATAGACATCCCAAGCCTTTAGCTTCAGATCCTTTCATTACTCTAAGCCTTTTGCAAGAGGTAATAAACATCTCCCATGGGACATCTCCAACTAGCATCCAATCACCATCTTTGTCTTCATATGTTGGTTCATATTCAGATCCATTGTATCCTTCCCTCTCTGTATACCCACCTGAAATAATATAAATCAAGAAACATCAGAACCAAACAATCACATGACCCAAACAAAACGAAAAGAATGGCAGTTGAAGTTCATATAGTTCTTACCAATAGTGCACATGAACATGTTTTCCAAGGCCTTGAGGAGCTCTTGGTAGCTCTGATAAATTTTCAGATCAATCTTCCTGAGATAAGGAGCTCCATCCATGCTCACTTTCACATACATCCCTGAACCATCTCCCTCACTTTTCTTCTGTTGGAAACAATTTTTTCGGTATGATCGGACCGGTGGCCACCCCACTACTTGTGCCCTGCCATTTCATGTAACACAATATACATAAAAAAAAATTGTATAAAAATTATTTAAAATTTTTGTTGAGAACTCATTCATGAACCATTCTCTATCAAAATCTAGGGCTACATAGAAAGCTTATTTCCTTTTGGGAAACTCATAGGCTTAACTCTCCCTTAAACGACTTTGCAAAAGATGGGAGGCTAACACCCTTAGGCCATGTTTGTTTGGATAGACATGAGATTGGAATTGGACTAATAGTTCAATAAAATTATTAATCTGATATTTGGTTAAACAATTGAAGTACGGACTAATTATTTTAAACTTGACTATTAGTTAAGATAGGATACATAATTCAACAGATTCGTAATCCTAAGACTATTAATCATGGAAATACTAATCCAATTCATCCAAACAAACATGGCCTTAAATGATAATCTAACAACTGACGACTAACTTTCGCCGATAAAAAAAATATATATAGAAAACTTACTTGGTAGGAGGGGCACGATCTTGATCTTCATTTTTGGAATCCAGGGCAGCATCCATCATCTCTGATGGGGGTCTTTTGTTACTTCGAATGGTAGGAGGAGGAGACGATTGTTGGTCGGGCTCTTCGGACCCGGGCAACCCTAATCTTAATTCAGTCGCCTTGAGATTCAGATGATGGTGGTGGTGATCAGACACGTAACTCATCGTCTTTTCCATTTCCCACTAAATCTTTGTTTGTGAATAATTCAACCAACCCTAACGTTTCGCGATTAATAGACCAACTTGTTCACTTTTGCAGGCGAGAATCCGGCAAATTTCCGGTGGTTTCTTCTATTTTCCGGCACCAAATATGGACAGAGAGAGAGAGAGAGAGGTTTTTTTCTTTTTAATTTTATTTTTGTTGGTGTGAGTGAGTTGTGAAGAAGGTATGGGCACAGAAGAAGAATTTTATAGAGGTGGAGATACGAGGGAGCGACAGTAGTTTCTCTGGGTGGCTTATTCTCTTCGTGCATGAATTTCATAACTTGAGAACTGGTCACCCTCACACGCTTTTACCTCGCACGCGCCTGCGTCACTTGCCAAGAATTTGCCTAACGTTATGTTCAATTAGAAAATTTGAAAAGATAAATAGAAAATATGTATAAAATTAAGTGAAATATAAGTATATTTTATTATATTTTATTTATATTTTTTATTTTTCTTTCCAAATCTTTCATCAAATTTCTCAACCAAATACAGCGTAAAGTAAACTATTTATTCTGAAAAATATATTAAACTTTGAGTGTGTATTTAAAGTTATTGTGTGTATGTAGGTCATATTTAATTTTTTTTTTAATTTTTGAAATAATTTTTAATATGTTTTTTAGTTAATTCTGTCAAATTATCTATCTTTTACATTCACATTTTTTTTATTTTTAAAATAATTTTTAATATGTTTTTTAGTTAATTCTGTCAAATTATCTATCTTTTACATTCACATATCATTGAATTATGTGAAAATTTTAATATATAATCCAACAAATATGAGTTTTTCTTTAAAATATAAAATATAAAGAAATTTAGGATAAAGGGCATAGTATTGTTTGAAAAAAAGTAACTAGCCAATAAACTCGGCAAGATAAGGACACTATTCTGAAAATATTATACTATTTATCTTAATTTATTCATAATTATTAGATCATATTATGAAAAATTTATGTATTAAAATTTTCATTGTAAATAAATTGAGTGAGAGAAATCTTGTTTGGCTTAGTTTTTAAATTTAGTTTTAAAAAATATAAAAATTCAATATATTTTGAGTAAATCATACAAATAGTCTCTATAGTTTATACGATGTGTCAATTTGGTCCATGTTGTTTTAATTTGTTCGATTTTGCCTCTTAATTTAACAGATTGTGTCAATTTAGTCCAATAAATAATAGTTGTTAAATGTGGTGGACAAAAAGTTAAATTATGTGTCAATTTGGTCCTTGTAGTTTACACAATGTATCCATTTGGTCCTTATCAAAATCTAGCAACGACTAAATTGACACATTGTGTAAGCTATAGGATTAAAATTAACACATTGTGTAAACTATAAGGACCAAATTGACGCATTGTGTAGACTTTCCGCCCACTAAACTTAACAACCATTATTTATTGGACTAAAATGACATAATCTATTAAATTAAGGGGTAAAATCGAGTAAATTAAAACAACAAGAACCAAATTAACACACCATATAAATTACAGGGACCATTTATATAGTTTATCCATATATTTTATTATTCTTGTGTATTTATTTAATTTTGTAAATCTTTTTTCACAAATATTTTATTTTTTATGCACATCTAAGTTAAATTTACTTAAAATATAAAAAAATAATAACTAAAAAATACAAAAAAATATATATAATTAAATTTTAAAAAAAAAACAAATCAAAACAAAACAAGTTGAATATTGAGAAAAAATTGGAAATGAGGATGCAGCGGGAGGCGCGTGGGAATGAAATTGGAAAAACGGGGACATGAACAGCTACGAGTGTCGGTGGAATCGCCGGCAAGTAGGGCCGGTTTGAGATCCCAAGAGGGGACAGAGGAGGGACAACCCACAACCGCCCATATTAAAGACTGTGGTCCGGAATCGGACGGCCCAGATGAGTTAGAAGGGGTTCGATATAGTGAAATGAGAAGCGTTGGATCACGAGCATCACATGTGAGTGCGTGGGGTCAAACTCCCAACATCATGTCGTGGATGCGGATGGCATGTCCATGTGGGTTTCAGTTAAAAGTGGAACCCAATCCAATCCCCCCAGTATTGTATTGATTATGGCTTATGTATGTCACATGTTATGTGGGCATGACCAGTTCATGCATGATCCATGATCGTCTTCCATCTCCTTTTTCTCTACCCAAGTTTATTACTCCTCCCCTTCCAAAATAGTAGTGTCTTTTAAAAAAAATTTACCTTTTTTTTAATAATATAATTATTGTATTTTAAAAAGATTATATTTTTAATTTTAACTTTTGATCGTACATTTTTTTAAAAATATCATTTGTCATAATTATATTTTTGTGTTATTAATGAATTTAAATAAATAACAATGATAGAGATTCCTAATTATGAAAACTCACAACTCCTAAAATAATTCATACGACAATGCTACGTAACTCAAATTTTGTGGCTCAAAAGTGGCTCAAATGGCCAAAACGACGTCGTTTTGAATATAAAACAACATAAAAATGGCCAAAACGACGTCGTTTTGGCCATTTGAGCTACTTTTGAGCTACAAAATTTGAGTTACGAGACATTTTCCTAATTCATACCACTCATGATGTGGACCCCACACATACATGAGTAGTGTAGATCACTTTGAAGGTTGTGAGAGTCCCCAAAAGTAGGAGTCCTAGGCACAAACTGAGCCAAAGAAGGTTTGGGGGGTCACGTGGCCCCCATTAATTTTGAACTTTTTTTGTTTTTGTTTTGTGGGCATATACAAAAAAAAAAAATTCTTAATATGTTCTTTGGCGAAGGATTCAATGTATTATTCACAATAAGTAGTTATTTGATATTTTGAGAAGACTATGTGGTATTGTTTATATAGTAGTCTAAACCAATAGAGTAGTGGGAAATCTTATGGATTGAATATAATTAACTCATTATTTTTAGGTAGTTAACAAACTACTTATGTTGTGTTTGGTTGGTAAGAGTGTAAAAATAGCCCGTGACCCATGAGCGAGTTGAAGCTCGTCCGGAGTGCGCCCTGCCCGTTTGGGCTCAGGCTCGAGCCCAGTCCAAGCCCTTAGTCTTGGGCTTGGGCCATCATTTCGAAGCTCGGCCCGTGTCCCGATCTATCAGCCTGCTTAAGGCCCACTCAAGAAAAACTCCCTAAAGCCCGGCCCGCCCGAGGCCCAGTGTTTTTTTTTAGTAAAAATAAATAAAATTTTGGTAGAAAAAAATTAAAAAAACAAAAAAAAAAATTGTTCAAACCTGCCCAAGCCTGAGGCCAAGCCTAGGTCCACCGGTCCGCCCGAATACCTCTGGGCTTGGGCCTGGGCCTAATTTTCACAATAAGTAGTTATTTGATATTTTGAGAAGACTATGTGGTATTGTTTATATAGTAGTCTAAACCAATAGAGTAGTAGGAAATCTTATGGATTGAATATAATTAACTCATTATTTTTAAGTAGTTAACAAACGACTTATGTTGTGTTTGGTTGGTAAGAGTGTAAAAATAGCCCGTGACCCGTGAGCGAGTTGAAGCCCGTCCGGAGTGCGCCCTGCCCGTTTGGGCTCAGGCTCGAGCCCAGTCCAAGCCCTTAGTCTTGGGCTTGGGCCATCATTTCGAAGCTCGGCCCGTGTCCCGATCTATCAGCCTGCTTAAGGCCCACTCAAGAAAAACTCCCTAAAGCCCGGCCCGCCCGAGGCCCAGTGTTTTTTTTTAGTAAAAATAAATAAAATTTTGGTAGAAAAAAATTAAAAAAACAAAAAAAAAATTGTTCAAACCTGCCCAAGCCTAAGGCCAAGCCTAGGTCCACCGGCCCGCCCGAATACCTCTGGGCTTGGGCCTGGGCCTAATTTTTTTGGCCCGTGACCCGATCCGGCCCAAAATTTGGTAGGAGCCCGTGAGGCCCAACATGAGCCGAGTCGGGCCGGGCCAGATCTACACCCCTATTGGTTGGGAGATTTAGAAAGAAAAAGAGAAAAAGTGTGTGAAACTAAGTGAAATGTAGGTATATTTTATTCACATTTCACTTACCTTTTTCATTTTCGTTTCCAAATCTCTCCTCAAATCCCCTGATCAAACACAACATTAGTGTGATTTGTGATTTCTCATGCTTTGAGCATCACATAGGCAACGTTATATGATACTCTAAGATTATTTAATAATTTCTATTCAAAACACATCATTTATAAGTAATGTAATCTCTTTAATATTTTCTATCAAATAAAAATTAAATAGATTTTATAATAATTTGTACTATAAATGACATGTTTTTATTTTCTACAATTAGGAATTTTTATCCATAATTTTTTGTGCTAAAATTACAAACTTGCATCACCATCCGCACCCAACCATTACACACTATTATAGAATTTTGATTTGTTCGTATTAATAATGATTTTTAATTTCTTATGCTTAAATTTAGCTCATAAAATTATTATTATCTTAATGTTGATCATATATTTTTTTAAATAAAAAATTATAATTAATAAGTGCTCCCTCTAATTTAATTTTTTGACTCCGTCACTGATCCCAGGCATTTTTCTTAAATGAAAAACAAAATAAGAAATTCATATTATTTTAATGGACGAATTACACTAACGGTCCCTAGAGTTTTCGAACTTGTATCACTTTGATCCCTGACTTTTCAATTGTGACACATTTGACTCTGAATTTTAAATCTTATTTCAAATAAGGACAATTGAAGATACCATTGCTTAATTTTAATGACAAAATTGTCAATTTGATAAAAGATAAACTAATTTGATAAAAATAAATATCAAAAAAATATTTTTAAATTTTTAAAAATTATTTCTACCCACTAAAGTTAAATTATGTAAAATTGATAAATCTTGTAGGCATTTATTTATTTATTTATTTTTATCCAATTAATTTTTATTATATGTTTGGGTGATGATCATATAATGGGTAGTTTTTATTTTCATTAAATTAGTTTCTATTTTTTCAAAAGTTAAATATGGCGACAACTTTAATATCATTATTAAACCAATCC